GAAGTCCAAGTCGTCTAATTGGTTCTGAGCTGTCCATCGTATGCCGTAGTTTCTCTCAGATGTCGAGGTCTTCATAATCCAGTCGACCACCAGAAGAAACAGGAAGGGAGAGAGTAGACAGCCTTGTCTTACTCCGGTCCTTACTTGGAATGCCTCAGTCAGCTGTCCTCCATGCACTACTTTGCACTGTAGTCCATCGTATGAGTTCCGGATAATGTTGACAATCTTCTCAGGAACTCCGTAGTGTCGAAGAAGTTTCCATAACGTCCTCCTATCTACACTGTCAAATGCCTTCTCATAATCAATGAAGTTGATGTAGAGTGACGAGTTCCACTCAATTGATTGTTCGACGATGATCCGTAGAGTCGCAATCTGGTCTGTGCACGACCGGTCCTTACGGAATCCAGCTTGTTGATCTCGAAGTTGAGCGTCAACTGCGTCTTTCATCCTGTTCAGTAACACTCTGTTGAAGACATTACCCGGTATTGACAGTAGTGTAATGCCTCTGTAGTTTTCACACTTGCTCAGAACTCCTTTCTTTGGAATCTTGATGAGGTGTCCTTCTTTCCAATCCATCGGTACTTGTTCCTCCTCCCAAATCTTCTTGAATAGAAGATGAAGCATGCTTGTAGTTACTTCGATGTCTGACTTCAACGCTTCAGCTGGTATATTGTCAGGTCCTGCTGCTTTCCCGCTCTTGATTTGTCTGACGGCCATTCTGATTTCTTCTGTCGTTGGTGGAACTAAAATATGAAGTCCCACAAATTGTTTAACGTTGAGCCCTATGTACTGTAGTTCTATATACTGATCATTAACTGAATATTTACTCCTTAAATTGTCCGTGAATGCTCAGCAAAAGTGTTTTTCATTAATTTGGGAGTTAAGCATATTGATACAGATAAATAGATATAGAATGTGACCTCACGTTCTCCCCAGAACTGTTCGTATAGCCATAGATAATCACAAATTAACGCTATTCACCATTAAGCTTTCGAAATAATTTTGCAAATAATCATTAACACTAACATCGCATTTTTGGGTGCATTAAAAGACACGGGAACTTAATAATATTCACATGATCCTTAAGTTCTCTACCTGTCTAATCCAATCATATTTTAGTATCTTATTTAAATATTCCATCGTTTTAGATTTACTGAAAGAAAACCAGTCCGATTGAATCGACGTCAAAAGCTTACAGATGATGAAATCAAAGAAAAACTTGCTCATTCTAGTCGTACACCACCTGAAGGATGTCTTGGCTTCTCAGCTGTTTCGAATCCTGAATTTATGGGCAGTCTTTTTGCCGGTGGTCTGTAACATTTTACTGGATTATTGTATGAGATGCTTATGTAGTGTAAATAAATTTTTTTTGACGAAAACAATCCCTTGTATTCATTGAAATAATCAGACTTATTAATTTAATAAACCAAACAATAGTTATCCATGTTTGCATTAATCATCATGGTCTTCAATAAATTCACATATGTCTTAGCTATTGATGAAACGTTTGTGTTTTGCTTAGTATTTTTAGTAGAGTGTAAAATGTGTCAGTTTTCACACACAAATATATAAACGAGTTGATATTTGCTGAAAATCATTTACCACAAATCAATGGTTTCATACTATTTGATACAGTGTATAGTTGACTGTAGCTGGGGAGATAAGCGTATTTTAGAAGATTTAAATTGGAAATATGGATGGTGGCTAGCAGTTGAATCCAGGACGCGCGTCCCGTCCTTTTTGGGACTCGCCAAATGGATGTACCTGCATCCAAGAGTGAACATCAACTCCATACATACTTATTTATACATTCAATTCCCTTTTGAAACATCACAATCACAACATATATATGCTTGCTATTTTCTATTTAATAACTTATAATTAAGGACCTGTTTTCTTAGTTATCCATATCTTGTGTATCTGTTGAATAAAGATTTTGCGTATATATTCAAATTAACCTGCAGAGTTCCACAATTAGATATTATCTTTGTTTATATCAACTGAAGGTCATAACGGTGGGTCTTTGTATATTTTTATGTTCAATATGTCAATAGTTTACTTACCTACGCCTGTTACCTCTTGTGGAGTAGCATAGGCCAACCACCACTACTCTCCATCTACCCCTGTCCTGGACAATCCTTTACATGTCTGCTTACGATTCCCGAAACAGTGTGTTCTTCGGCCTTCCTCATTTCCGTTTTCCTTCAGGATTCGAAGCTAGGGCTTGCATCATGATTCAATCTGATTATTTCCACAGTGTATGACTTATCCACTCCCAACACCTTTTCCTCTTCATCTGGAAGCTGATTTGTCCTCTCACAGAAGGCTGTTGCCGATGGTATCCGGTCAACGGATATTGAATTTCTTGGGTAGACAGTTGTTTATGAATATCTGTACTTCTTTGATGATGGTTGCAGTGGCTCTCCAAGTTTCATCTCTGTACGGTAGGATTGTCTTGACGTTCGTACTGAAGATTCTGACTTTGATATTGCTTGACGGTTGTTTTGAGTCCCATATGTTCTTCAATTGTAGGAATGCAGCCCTTGCTTTGCCAATCCTCGCCTTTACGTCTGCATCGAATCCTCATGTTTATTGATGATGCTTCCCAGATATGTGAAGGAAGGGGGAAATTAAACAGCCTTGTCTGACCCCAGTCCTCACTTGGAATGCCTCTGTCCTCCATGCACGAATTTAAACTGTAGTCCGTCGTATTAATTCTGGATGATGTTGACGATATCAGGTGGTCCATAATGTTGAAGTTTCCATAAGGTCCTCCTATCCACACTGTCAAACGCCTCATGGTCAATGAAGGTGATGTGTAGTGACGAGTTCCACTAAACTGATTGTTCGACGATGATCCATAGTGTCGCAATTCGGTCTGTGGACGGCCGGTCCTTATGAAATCCAGCCTGTTGATCTGGAAGTTAGGCGTCTACTAAATCTTTTATCCTTTTCAGCAACACTCTGTTGGAAACTTTTTCTGGTACTGACAGTAGTGTGATGTCTCTGTTCTCACATTTGCTCAGATCTTTATTTATTTTCTTGATGAGGTGTCCTTCTTTCCAGTCCATCGGCACTTGTACTTCCTCCGAAATCTTCCTGAATGGAATGTGAAGTATACTTTTAGTTACTTATATGTCTGACTTGAGAGCTTCAGCATGTATATTGTCAGGTCCTGTTGCTTTCCCGTTCTTGATTTGTCTGATGGCCATCCCTATTTCTTCCGTAGTTGGTGGAGTGACATCTATGGAAAGATCTGTAGGTGCTGCTTCGATACCCGGTGGATTCATTGGAGCTGACCTATTCAATAGTTCCTTAGAATGTTCCAACCCTCTGTTCTTGAATCTTGGTGATTCTCTTGCTTTCTTCGTCCTTGGCCGGTCTCTCTGGTTTTCCTTATTTCCCTGACAGTTTCTTCGTTGTGTCATATAGTTGTCTCATGGCAACTTGAACCGATGCATATATGTGCCTGGTCCTACGTTGTAGTTGACTGACTTTGTTTTGAAGGATGCTTTGATGATTCTGGATCCGTGAGATTCCCATCCTGTAAGTGCATTTTGTGCTACTTAGGACAGCATTAGAGAAACTCCCTGAGTAAGTAGAGCATCTTCCTCTTCGTGACCGGATTCCAGCAGCATCTCTCCTGTACCTTACCTTTTCTGTCCAGTTGAGTCCAATGGGTTTCGCTTATTCCGAGTACTGCCAAGTTGTATCTCCTCATTTCCGCTGCTATTTGACTGGTCCTTCCGGTCTCACATTGTCCGGACGTTCCATGTACCTATAAAAATTGTTGCTCTGGTTGTTAGAAGGGACATCGGCCTCGTGACGTCGGCTCTCATCATGAAGCGTTATAATTCTTCCCTTAACTCCGGGGGCAGAGTTTAAATGGTTTAATTTGTTTAATTTGGTTGGTGTTTTCTTAGCAAGTTTGTTTTCTACAGGGTGGGGTTGATAACATCATCCCAATCCTACTCCTTTGCTCGGGCTTGGGGCCGGCAGTAACTCTAGAAGAGCTACAGGCGGAGTTATGTCAATCGTACATCACTAAATACTGAAAATTCCTGTAGTCATCAGCATAATGTTGATTTTACAATGTTCTTGCAAGAAGAAAACTATTCAGAGTCAAGTATTTAAAAAACTATTATTCAAGAATAACTTTTATTTTATTTTTCTTAAGTAATTTTTGTTCAAATAATCGTCGATACTTGATTGGCTGTGAAAATTACAAATTCCCAATAAACCTAAAATGAAAGCAAAACAATGGAAATATTTGTCTCTTACTTCTAGACTATGGTATAAATATCTAGTTAAGTAAAATATTCTACATGGTACTGACAGCCAATAATTTAAACATCTACAACATTAAGGTTTAGTAGAAAAAAATGGCATAAGATTTCCTAGTGTTCACTATGCTATTACTCCTGCACATTTCTCAGGATTCTAAGTTTCTTGTTGCTAACCAGTGTCCTTTAGTTATCAGTTAAGATTTTCTTAAATTATTTCATCATACAGGTGTCAAACACGGTACAGATTTATTGTGTCTCTCGATCACACTTATAATCTGACTATTATATACCGAGGTTTCCCATGAGTATGTTTAATATTAAAGTAGCGAATGTAGGTTTGTTTGTTTTTCTTGCTATTGGATAATTGCTTGTCATCCCTCCACTTTCGAATCGCTCGCTGTTACTAGTATACTGTTATTTTCACACTAGTAAACACTAAGTCGTCAGTTTTTCAATCGTTAAGTATTTTGAAGACTTTTTCGGACAGAATATAAAAGGGGACAACTATAATTGAAGTAGCACCTGTCTTCTCTTTGTTGATCATCGCAATAATTAAGTAAGAAGTGTCGATATTATAAAAATCCACTGAATTAAATATTTTGATCAAAAGATAAGTTATTTTTATTAATAAAAATAGTACTATCATTTCATCAAGTTTTTGAATCTAGTGGCCGCATGATCGTGTTATATCTAAATACATCTTACTTTTACGTATTAAAGTTTATAGCACAATTTCGTTTGATCATATATTGTTTCGAAAGACGATTCTAATGTAGATGGTTTTCGAGAATTGTGAATACTCGGTTCCATAGTTCCATAATGAAGGTCAGGTTCGAAAGTTTTGTTTTGTTGATATGATCTTGAAGTGGCAGGAGTTTTATCAATATCACTATAATTTTCTTCATTGTTCAATCCAGATTCGAACTAAAACAAAATGTATGTCAATAGTTTATTTGTTTAAAGTATTCCAGTAACGTGAAAGATGCGTCGATTTATGATACTTCTAGTTACTTATAACTGCTATTTTACTGAAATTTGATGGTTTCTTCTTGGTTTACAATATCTATTCATAAATAATACGGTACACTATCATTCACTACTTTTGTGTATGAAAGAAGTAGGCACGAGATTAATCTAAAAATAACTTGAGAACTGAGATTGTAAAAACAAATAAGCAGACGATAGTCGTAAAGATTGATATCCAGATCATTTATTGAGTAAAATCAGAGTAAATCCCTCAGTTAATTCTATGGAGAATAGAAATTCCAACTTCATCGTCTCCTGATAAAATAATCTATCTTGTTTATAGATGGGTAATAAATTGTGACCACTGTATGAATAGGTACTTTAGATTAAAATCATTAGGGTGTGCTATGCCAACGAGGGAGCTACGTATAAATCCACTTCATGTGAATATGATTGATCATGGTAATAAAAGCCTCGTCACTAAGCTATCTAATACTATAGGTCAATAACATCCATTAATATGCATATGAACATACATGTGATTCAATCTTTAACATAAATAGATTATATCACTAAATTACTTTTACAGTGAAATATTTATTTGTAAATAGCTCTCGTCATTACTATGTTATACTATACCATGTCAGCGGAACAAGATACTGAATAACACAGTGACTAACCAAATATTGGAAGAAATTTGTACCACGGACTGGAAAATAATTGGGAAAAAAAGAATAATAAGAAGCTGTTTCATTATAGCTTTAGGCTGGTTAGCAGTATTTAATTGTGACCTTGGGCGAGATTAATCGCATAAGATTTTGGTCTCAGGGTGATCATGGCACAATTTATCCTTGGGAAGGGGTAAAGTAGTCTTTAGTCTTCTGCAGTTTTATAGTTTTTTCTAGTTGGATATCAAAGGAAATCAACCAAATCTCCGAGCACTGATCGATTAAAGTTTTCGAGAATATATTTTCGTTTTCATAAGTTATCTATATCAATATAGCCCTTTTACACATCACATTAGTTCCGGCTAGAACCACTAATATAATCAGTAGAATACATAAAATAGCAAACGAAAAAATCAGAGACCACATAAAATAAGAGACGAATTAACCAAGTCTTTCAAAAGACTAGAAGGTAAATACAGCTCAAACAAATTTGAATGGTACATTCAAATAGATGTGAAATGTTTTACCAATTTTGTGTAAGTTATAGACCATAAATTTTAATAATGTCCGACTATATCCAAAACTTAACTAATCATGTTCCAATAAGTTGTTTTACATTAACATTCTAAACAAATGACTAAGTATGTTTTTTAAGAGATATGTTCAAATTTGTAAATAAAATAAATAAATATAAATATACTGTCCATTAACTTTGACCGTCACAGTACATCTTAACATAGTACACGCAATGGTGAGTCACTTATACTGGTTACCACATTACAACTTAAGCAACATTGAAAAGTATTGGCATATATGACATTGGTCACTGCTGAACGATCAGTCAATTGTAAAATCTATCATGACTGATTTCATCACATCATTTTGACGTATCACTATTACTTAAAAATATTCTAGTCATATTGATAATTAATTATATTTAAACAAATGAAAGTGAATTTAAAACAGGCTTTAGAATCTCAGACGAGTGTATTAAAAAGTATGCAAAAGAGTCTTTAGAATAATGGATAAGGTTGTAGGAAGGTTCCCAGTTTCCGTAAAATATACATTGACTATTTCAAATTATTAAAAGCATAACCAAACAAACTTGATATTATCAAAAATTTACTACTTACACTTTGTGTTTGTCTCATTTGATTCAAACCAATATGTTGATCATTATTTAATTGAACTTTTAAATAATCAGTTTGTTTCAATTTATCCATATTACAATCAGGTGTTACAATAATATCAAGGCATTCACTAGATGTAAACTAATTATAAAAATTTATATTCACTTAATTAATAAAAATTTATAAAAAATTACTTTAGATACAGATTCATCATCATCTTTTGAAATACCATTTCGATCGATGATTGATTGATTAATATGTGAATGATTATTAGGAAAACTATTTAAAAAAAAGAATAAAAATCAATTAAATTGAAATGGATATTATTACATAAATGAAGTTAATTGATTATTCATTTTCAATTTTGAAATAATTTGATTTTCATTTGTAATTGTTGCTTTTTCATTAAAGTATTTTGGATATGTAACAATATTTGTTGATTCATTACATAATGTTTGGACTGATTTATCAATATATTGACCTGTATAAAGAATTAAAAATAATTAGATTTTAAATTTATTAAAGATATTACTAGTATCAAATTCTTATTTCATATAGTAATAATAATATATTACATAAATGTATATGTGTAACAGTGGCAAAAATCCTTACATGTGACGTAACTAAACGCGAATCTGTTTCTCTTATTGCAGGGAAACAAGGAGTAAATGTACTGGAAAAAGAAAAACAAGCTCTACGTAAGCCAAACCTGCAGAACCGCGTCTTTCAAATTTTCAGATATATATTTGTTGTGCCAGTACGCTGAGTTCTCAGTTCAGAAGCATTTATCTGTCCTGATTGTTGTGTTGTTGTTTCAAATCGCTCCTGCTCCCAAGTAAATGCTAATATTACGTGCTACATATGGTAATAAGTGTAAACAGGTATAAAACTTTAATATTATGGTGTCGTATCAATCTTTCCAAACTTTCAACTATAGTATACATTTTAATCCAAATGATACTATTCAATCAGTACATTTTAGTAAATAATAAAAAGTTGAATATCACACTTGTTATAAAATAAACCTTAGTTATTGCTTATGAAAATAGTTATATTCACTCTGATGTTCTTCGAGGCTTACTTTTTTAAACTTTGATTTCAAAATTTATTTCCCAGTATTTTTAATAAATACAAGTGAAAAATAATTATCTGAACTAAAATATATTCTGTACATTATACTATTCATTCATTAGTTTGTACCCACTTTTTTTACCATATGCGCATGAACATTATGCGAGCACTGTGAAATCTTGCAAAATCCATCCGTTTTTATAAAAGTTCTATGATTTAGATTTTTACTAATAGTAATATAATCAATAAAATGAATGTTTGTTTCCTTGATATCTATTCATCGGAACCAAACCTCAAATTTCATAGATGAATACAAGAGTACAACTTTTAGATGAATTTATTGGAATGATATTTTACATGAAACTTAACAGTTTTTAGCAAACTCGTATAAAAGTTTAGAATTAATTTTCTTTCAGTGTTAATATTTGTTTGAAATCATGAACCGATCAATGTTAGTGCACCACTGAATACCAAGAAGCACTGAACGACAGTTTAAACTTAGTATGCGATTCCTGAATAGTGAGCACTCACAATCCTGCACGCAGGAATTGAACCCATAACCTTCTGTCTCTCATGAAGACTTAACTTCTGGACTATTGAGCCGGAATCCAACAGTGTTAATGCCCTGGGTTTCTTGTCCCACATGTGGAATCGTGGGTGCGTACTTCTACGAAGTTCCATACTAGGATGAAACGGTCATCCATTGCAGCCAGGTTTTCAATGATGGTCTAAGATTGATCGGTTCATGATTTCAATGAAATTCAACAATCTTCACAACTTCATACTAAGAACTTATATTTATATTAAAAATAGACACTAAAGTTCTTTTAACTAAATAATATTAAATTTTTTAAATATAAGTGATTCCCCTTATTTCTGTTTAACTATTAATCTAAATTTTCGTATAAATTGTCCTGGTTTATTAAAAAACAAAACGAAAAAAGCTATTCACCATTAACTCATAATATGGATATTCATTTTACAAATTAATTTTTTCAATAGTTGAAATTATGAGTCAATTGAAGCTAGATTACCATGAAAAACCTGGAAGCACTGGACGACCGTTTTGTCCCAGTATGGGACTCCTCAGCAATTGATTTTTTGGGGGGATTGGATGCCTTAAAGGAATTTTTCTTTGGTCTTAATTATCATGAACTAAAAGTTTAGATTGTTTTTCTAAATAAACAAGTTTTTTTTGTTGTTGTTGATTTAAGTAAATATAAAATCACCTAAATATTGAAGAGAAATTTTCATTATAAGTAATATATGATTAGAAATTAAAATTGTATTTCATTTTTAAATAGATAACTCAATATAACATGATATAAACATAAGGAATGATTGTGAAATATTTTATTCATTAACTGATATTGTGTTTTATTATTATCTAACAGTTAAGAGTTGATCTAAGGTAGATAAATAAACTAAATGACTTTAGATCACCTATTGTAGATGATAGATACTATCTATTACCCCTCGTAGAGAAGCATAGGCCACCTACCAACACCTATTGTAGTTAAACACTATTCATATAAACTATGTTAATTAATAAAAAAATTTAAAAAAAACAATCTATGTGAATTTATTATTTTACATGAGATAAAACATTAAAGCATTAAAATAGTATGAAACTTTAAAATGTGACATAAAAATTTTACATTTGTTGAGAATATCCACCGTTTGAACTGTACAATTACTACGAGCTGAATGATTTAAACAATGACTACAAGATCGCAAGTCATTTAAATCTAAGTGTAAACAATCATTCCATCTTGAAGATATTTGTTTTGTACTTTTACAACACTCTGTACAGTGTTGATTGAATGTTGTAATTGGATGGTAAGTTTCTGTAACGATTTTTACTGCATATTTATTCAAAACATCTGGTGATGTTGACGTATTTGACTCAACAAAGAGATTACGCAATTTCTTTTCCATAGCTTCTAAACGTTTATCAATACTTATTGTTTCTAAATTGTAATATAAACTTTTCTGATCCCCAAATATCCTCTGATCAGGTGAATCATGGAGCAGAAACGAAGAGTACTGAAAACAAATATAATTTAAGGAAAATCAAAGTTATTACTTCCGTAAATCCCTGAACAAATTGCAAGTACAATTATTTGAGATAAAATTTTCAGGGACCAATTAAAATACCATCTATTCCATTGTGATCACTGACTTATAAATTACCTTGATTGGTTTAAAATTTCATAGATATATTCATTTACATTAAACCAAAGTCTAATGACTTCTACTTCGTAGAGGATTTAGAAAGCAGTTAGTCTAGTGGTATGTTTCCAGTCCGCATGTTCACCTATGAAACACGAGCCTTCAAAAAATTTCATTCACAATTGTTAACCAGGTCATTTTACAAGTGTTTCTCTTGTTTACCACAGCTAATTACAAATGAACTTAAATTAGATATGGGATAGAAACTGGTTTTAATTAACTAAACACTTTCAATTAATTATTTTTATGAAAGTGTGTGATGAATAAATAAAGTCTATTTATCATCAATACGATGTTTTTATCGTGTAATCGTTGGAGACTTTCAGAACTCAACGTCAACATAAAACAAGTCAAGTATTCTTTCTCAAATGAACCACATTCGACGAAATGAAGTAAATGAAATAGATGTTAGGTAAATCTTTTATTGTGAGTAAAACAAAATGTTTAGAATGTTTTTGCAATAATGAAATTCTAGCTTACTTTTTTGAAGTTAGTATGACTCAGAAATTTTGTTTTGTTTTCTTACCAATATACATACTTAAATACATTTGTACCAAAAAATTACATAAATAAATAAGATTGGTTTCTAGGTATCAAAACCAAAGTGTGAACATGATAGATTCAAATACATTAAAAATTCAGTAGACAGTTAATAATAAATATATGTTTGTTATATCTCACTGAGTAGAAAAATTGTATTTCTGACGAAGCCACTTATACGAGGTTACGAAACGTCAAAAATACAATTTTTTTCTGTTATATAACTTAATTGTGTATATCACGAATCAAAAGTAACTAAATTAGTTAGAATATACCACATTTTAAATTTTCAAACCGAAAACTACTTTCTCGTAAATGTATCATCAATCAATCTTATTTTATTATATTTTTTTTACATGACCATGAGAAAGCTCATTTATTTTAGACTGAACTATTTCTAGTTTATCATAAAATAGATTTTTAAAAAAGGCGTGACAAATTTCATTGTCTATTAGACTCCGAAACTTTTAAATAATAGTTTGATTATTCGAAATCTTTTTTATTTCGATTCGAAATTCCACGTTCTATACTATTGACCTTAAATGATAATATAACTTTTTATATCCTTATTTCTTCTTCGCCAGATTTTTTCATAGAATTCGATTAATTTTATGTGTATTATCTGATTTGATCACTAGCGTTACGGTTACTATAGTAATAGTTATAGTTTCAGGTATGATACTAAACAATGTTAGTTTTGAATCTTGTATACACCAAAAAGAATCAATATCAATAATAAATTTTTGTTTTCATAAACGACTAATTTTTGCACACATTGTTGATGAAGTTTAAAATTTTGGCCCATGATATAAAATAGGTGCACATGTACCTTTAAGCAAAATGTAAACTGAGGAAGACTAAATGTTCAGTAAATATCTTCTCCTTGATTATAAATGCTGATTAATCTTTGTAAAATATGTTCATATTTGAATAATTTGTTGAAGCCTTGGCTATTTGTAAATTCAAACCACTCTTATGTGCACAAAAACAATTTGTCGTAACCTTGAATTTACTTTGGTAATACTTAAGTCATTATATGGCCTAGGATAACACGACAATTTCATATTCTTCCTATATGATGTAAAATTGTTTCTCTCCACTTTGTTACTTTTTTACTTGAACATTCATTTAACTGACCTTTATTAATTTCAATTGTTGGATGCCGGCTCAGTGGTCTAGTGGTTAAGTGCACATGCGCGAAACCAGTAGGTCCTGGGTTTGGATCCCACGAGGCGGGATCGTGGATGCGCACTACTGAGGAATCCGACAATAGGACGAAACGGTCATCTAGTGCTTCCAGGTTTTCCATGGTGGTCTAGCTTCAATTGACTCATGATCTCAACATTTGAAATCACTAAAATCTCCACAAAACCCCTTTCTGATAATGACCTTTATTAATTTTCAAATAAAATGCCCTGACAAGTATGTGTGACCAGTTTGTCCGAAATGTATAGCGCAAATACATCACATTTCTCGGATCAACTCCGTCTTCTTATTGTTCCATCGGAACATATGTTCATTATACATATGTTTAAATGGACCGATTAAGAGAATATTAAGCAATATTAAGCCCCCAAATGCCTTGGTATGGCCGAAAAAAAGGGGGGGGGGTTCGTCCTTCCTCTCGAAATACTCTCACACGGCCATGCGTATACAGCTTCTGCCAGGGAAGTCCTACTCACTGCCTACTCGTGGCGCGGGTGTTGTTTACGAAAATGAGAGGACAAAAAGCGAATGTCTGGCGCTTTAACCGGATCCCAAATCAATGGTGCACATGGGCTCCAGTATCCTGAAGGAACAAATGGCGTATGAACCAATTTCTTGGTTCCAGCTTCCATGGGACTGCATCTCCTCACGATGCTCCACAGCCTTGTGGATCAGACGTTCAGGTCGAAGGCTCGGGGTGTGGCCCCTTAAGAAAACCACCTGCCTCGGTTTGGGCACCCGTGCAGTATCACAGCCCTCACACATATCAATTGAGATTTGTGTGGCGCATATGTATTTGGTGCCTCCCTGTACCTATACTTATGTGTTAAAATAAATAAATAAATAATAATAAAAAAATTGTATGAACACATTTTGTTAGCTTTTTACCTCTTGAGGATCGATAATATAATTGAACATTTTTAACACTTAAGATAAGAAACTGCCAACCTCTATAAATATATACAGATAAATAATGATTTTAAATATAACTGACTAGTATAAAGATTATACATATTTAATATTGACAAATTGCAACCAATTTGTTTTGTAGATTCATTTGTAATGATCGAATATATTGGTAAATTACCTGGAATATCAAGGTTTTATTAAATTTTCGGTTTAGATAACCATATAGAAGTGAATTTATCAATTTAAATTAACGTTTGAGTCCACAGGGTTGCATTGAAGTTAAATTAAATTAAACAACAGTGGTAACAATAAATCAGTCAGTATTGTTTTTTAAGCCTGTTATGCATTCCCTGTCAACTAATCATTCTTCTGTTATGTCATGTTTCAAACAAAAAATTAAAATTTATATCTCAAGAAAATTATAGTCAATGAAGACTATGACATTCCTGATTAAACAACTTGGATTATTTTTACAAGCATTTATCTACATACACTGGTGAACGGCGTTTGTCACCCCTTTTGTACCTACCTTTATTTTTTATAATCTAAAGTTTCCAAAATGACCGTTTGTGTTGGTACATTTTCTATGAGCTGTTCATGAGTTTGTAAAGGTACGACAATCATGACTCAACTATTATTTGGTTTTAATTTAGAGGCCTAGTGACCAATTCAATGTTTGAGCGCGGTTAGTTTCATAATTTTATGCTAACGGACTGTTTGTTGAAAATTATGGATTACTAGTTTTGATTTTTTGCTAGTCTTTTCGTTGGTTCTCAAAGCTCATTAATCAACAAACCTTCAGGTTGACTCTGATCAAGTAATTCATAAGTAATTCAAGTACAGTGATTAAATTTCTGAATCTTCAGCTCATTAACATACATTCAATATTTAGCTTAATTTGTAATGGCTTGAATCATCCCGTTGTTGGTACTCGTGACTGAATTTTGACCACTTCTAGTCGACGTATTTAATAACTCTTGGCGAATATCCTCGATATCACCATATTGACACACGTTTTCATAGGATTTTATTTATATTGTCAGGGGCAGAATCCAGGATGCATGTTTAACCTTATCCCATTGCTGCTTACATTTCATTTGTTTTATAAAAACTTACGAAACAACAGTTATACAGAAGCGATGCATACAGAATGCATACACACCGTGTAAGACTGATCAAACTCCAATCAGGAATGTAAATAAAACGATAATCGAAATAATTACAGTTCATACTCGTTGAACAGACTAGTAGCCATCAGGATTCGGTAGCTTAGTGAACAACTTGTAGATCAGTTAAAATAAAAGATACTGGGTTCAGTTCCAGTTTGGACATATATATCTGATGAGGAACGAACAGGACTAAAAGTGATTCCTGAAGTTTACTGCTAGCCACATTCTATCTATTCCATAAAAATAACTAACATCTATTAATTAGGTATATTCGGAACTGAGTTATGAAGTTTTGTCAAAAGACACCTTCCACTGTTAGTCGATATTATCTTAGGTTCTTTTGTATATAGACGTTGACAAAATTTTTGACCTTATATATTCCTTTACCTTGTTGAATACTTTACAACCGCAGTAAAACATTTTTAATTATCGTTAAAATAGTATTATTTGATAAATGTAATGACCAAAAGTTTTCCATTTATTCAGCTTGAAATCAATTTACGAGCTTCTAACTCAACATTAGCAAGGTAATTTAAACACGTAAACACTTCTGAAACAACGCAAACATAGAGCAATGATTTTCATTAAAAAGGCCAGATTCCCATGCTACAAACGACTGCATATCCTTTATGTCAGTTTAAAATATTTCATTTTTCTTGCTGGATAGAATTTTATTAGATCAATATGAAACAATAAATCCTACTTTTACAGAAATTATTATTTATTTATTGTAACAATAGTTAGTAAAGCGACATATAATTCGGTTGAACCAAATGTCGAAAAGTTTGGAAATAAAGTTTAAATTATTGAACATTCGTGTAATTTTAATAACTCTACATAAAAGGCTTATTTCGCGTTTAAACGTTTCTTAACAAGACTTTGAACACAGCTCGAAGTAAGGTTAGTAATCTGATTATTAGGATTTTAACTACACTATTATTTTTATTTATTTATTTTAACATATAGATATATGCATATGCGCCACACAAATCTCAATTGATATGTGTGAGGGCTGTGATACTGCACGGGTGCCCAAACCGAAGCAGGTGGTTTTCTTAAGGGGCCACACCCCGAGCCTTCGACCTGAACGTCTGATCCACAAGGCTGTGGAGCATCGTGAGGAGATGCAGTCCCATGGAAGCTGGAACCAAGAAATTGGTTCATACGCCATTTGTTCCTTCAGGATACTGGAGCCCATGTGCACCATTGATTTGGGATCCGGTTAAAGCGCCAGACATTCGCTTTTTGTCCTCTCATTTTCGTAAACAACACCCGCGCCACGAGTAGGCAGTGAGTAGGACTTCCCTGGCAGAAGCTGTATACGCATGGCCGTGTGAGAGTATTTCGAGAGGAAGGACGAACCCCCCTTTTTTTCGGCCATACCAGGGGATTTGGGGGCCACTCAAAAAAATTTTTCTATTATTGATTATTATCAATGAAGTTATGCTAATTTTATACTCTTAGAAATGTCACAGTATGATCACAGATGAAGAAATGGTACTGTACCACATTATCAAAACGGGAGTAGCTGACTTAATTTGTAATTTCGTATTTTTAGACATTTGCTAGCAATATCCGAAAACGGAGACTGAAATTCAGATTACATTCAAAAAATCTACATTTCTCTTCAAATTCGAAAGTCTTAACAAATCTGTACAGGTAAGAATCTGTCTATACAGAAGCAAAGCAAACTTTTCATTTAAAATCTTGAAAAACAAGATTTATTATTGGACATGGACAGTGTCACACATCTGCGCAACTCTCATGATAGTTCACATATACTTCAGTTAAGAAACTTTCATTTCAATTTAAATGAAGTTTTAACGGAAGATTTGATTTGTTTAAAAAACTTGTTTTCACTTGGCACTACTTTCATTTTTTGGATTTTTGATTGCTATCAAATAAGAATGGACAGTCAAACTTAAACATCATGCGCTGAGTCCATAAATACTGAGCCGCCGTGACCGAATTTAGTGACTGACATTTTGATTTTTTTCAATTGGCCAAAGTCTCCAAAAAAAATAATTTTTCTGTCCATAATCTGGGAAATTTATGGCTACTAGTTGAAAACAGAAGTTAATTTGTTTAACTAAATATAACCAGAATGATGAAAGAACTCATAACTGTACTTACTTTTTCATTTAAGATACTTCTATTGACTTTGTTGGTCAATTCATATGGTGTTCTTTCAACTGGTCCAATATTCCTTAATGAATCTAAAGATTCTTCAAGTCTTGATATTCTGTGTTTAAAGTGCAAAAAAAAATGTATTTCATATGATTGCCTGGTAATTCATCTAAGGTGAGATATTAAATAAGAAACATAATTTTTCAATAATAAATACTTAAATATTTATACGATTCCTGCAGACGGTATCTATGATTGTGCACATAAGTTGGATATAGTACAAAATATAGATAACTTTACAAGGCAACTGTTGAAAACCGAATGAATTTGTCTTGAAAAAGAGCAGCCAAAGGAATGATAACAGCAAGAAGTTTGTGTACGATGGATAGAATATCGGTTAACGATCTTCAGAGACTATATCGAATATGAATTTCGGGGTTTCACTTTGATTTAAAGGCTTCAAATAAAAATTGGTAGCTCCCGGGTGTTAAATGTTTATAGTAACTTGATTATTTTTAATTATTTTTATCCCGAACGTAACTCAAACTGTGAATAAGTCACCAAAAACGATCTGATACATTGACAATGGCTATGAATCTAAAAAATTCATTCGGTAAGGTAGAGTAAATATCTAATAACATAAATCTAAAGTGAACTAAAATACTCAATTGTTTGGCTTGTAAACTGTGAAAAAAGGCCTTTCAATAGTTAAACTTCCATTGAAACGTCATGTACATTAGGACTCACAAGACTTGTTTAGATTTGAATTGAGCAATTCGAGCCTTCATAAAACTCTCAAAGCATAATCTGTCAGGTTGGGAAAACCAAAACACTTCTCTTAACTTCAAACCTCACAATTCAATAACCCAAGATATTGTGATATAGTGGATAACTAAGTCGAACCGATGAGTAGTTAGCTACAAAAAATTCAGGTCCAAAATTTTCAAGCAGGGTCGTTTACCAAAAGACTGGAAGAACGCCATAGTAAGTCCTGTCTTCAAAACAGGTACGAAACATAAACCTGAGAATTACCGACCCGTTAGCCTAACTAGTGTGGTTGTTAAAATCTTAGAAAAGATTATTCGGAAAGAGCTGTTTAAATACCTCGATGTAAACCGAATCCTCTCGGAGAAACAGCACGGTTTCAGAATAGGTTATTCTTGTCTCACTAACTTATTAGTCACTCGAGAAAGCTGGTGCGCTTCTAAGGACCAAAAGTTACCTGTAGACGTGGCTTACATTGATTTCAGCAAAGCTTTAGACAAGGTTCCGCACAACCGGCTGTTATATAAGCTAAAAAATGTCGGAATTGGAGGCAATCTATTGACGTGGATAGAAGACTTCCTTGTTGGGCGCCAACAAAGAGTACGGGTAAACTCAAAATTATCTAGCTGGGAAACTGTGCTTAGTGGAGTGCCCCAGGGTACAGTTTTGGGGCCAGTGCTATTCCTCTTGTATGTAAATGACCTTCCTCGCTTACTATCATCATCGGTCTTGCTATATGCTGACGATGTCAAGATATGGAGAACGATACGATGTAATGGTGATAGTTTAGAACTCCAAAAAGACCTGAAGAAATTATCCGAATGGTCTGATACATGGCAGCTGCCGATAAATACTTCCAAGTGTGTTGTGATGCATATCGGTCATCAAGGTTCAGTAACATACACGATGAATAACACTGAGCTACCTGCTGTCCAGACACATAATGACTTGGGAGTCATCGTTAGCCAAGATCTGAAGACTACTGCACACTGCCGTGCAACAGCCGCCAAAGCTTTTAGAACTTTATGGTCAATACATAGGGCTTTTATTCATGTCGACGCTAAAATATTTTTGACTTTGTATACAGTGTTCGTGCGTCCCAAACTTGAGTACTGCATACAAGCGGCTAGCCCCTGCTTAAAAAAAGACAGTGAGTTTTAGAAAAGGTCCAGAGAACAGCAACTAAGCTGATTCCCGTAATAGCGAAGCTTCTGTATGATGCTCGACTGGCCAAGCTAAACCTATTCCCTTTGTCATATCGTAGAACTAGAGGCGACTTGATTACAGTTTTCAAATTGCTTAGTGATAAATTTGCACCTGATATGCGCTCATTTTTCCTGTCTTCCAAAACAGAGAATTTACGAGGACACTCCAAAAAAGTTCACAAGCCCAGAACGAATTACTTGTCAGCTGATTATCGACTTTCCCACCGAATCATCAACGAGTGGAATTCATTACCTCAACACGTGGTTGAAGCTCCATCCGTAGATTCTTTCAAAAGAAAGTTGGATCAACTGAGAGAACACAATTGCCAGGACTAACACAGGCCATCAAGCCTCCTGTCCTTTCCAAACTGAAACTGAAACTGAAGCTAAATTAATCGATTTATATGCACAAAATATGGTCAAAAAGGAATATTTCAATCGAATTTCTCATTGTTTGTGCAGTCTTTACCTACATTCCGTTTGACCAATGGATTACCGTCTTTTTAAAGATATAAATGGCCTGAAATTCATACTATTTCATACTGAAGTGAATCGTACGTTTGAGAGTCTATAAAAGTACAGATTAAAGATAATCTGGTTGGTCTTTAGAGGCTCGAGATCTGACTCCAGTTAGGTCGTTTGCTGCTCGTTATCGAAATATATATGTCACCAATCCTCGTATATAACCATAGTTAAATCGCCTTGGTGAATAACGGAATTAAATAAGTCAAATACAAGAATGAAGTTTTGAATGCGTTTGTTTCATGCAATCGTTAATCGTGAAGCGAAGCAAGACAAAATGACGCAATAGAGAGAGCGAGTGAGCCGACTTAATTAAGCTTGAATCAATGTTTATAGTCAGATAAAAATAAGTTACAGAAATATGATGAGTCCTATAAAAAATGCACACGCATACACTCATATAAAAAGTCAAGGCTGATGAGCGAATAGCTGACAGGGTCAAAATGTGGCTTAAAAAGAATGAATAGAATGATCTGTCTAAAGGACAGAATAATCTATGTGAGCTCGACATGATGCCAGTCCCCACAGGTAATTGTTGTAGTTTTCAGGATTAGTACGAAAAACTAAGTGTGGAATGCATAGCTAATGGGTTCGATATAGGATCGGAGGCACGACTAACAATAATTCTCTTTTCTTATAAACAAGTGTAAGATGGAAAAGTCTAACTACCATCAATTGGTTTTTAACTGACTTTTGGTGTGTTTTTAACAGCTTTAATCAATGATGACCAATTCAAGGCTTCGCGTTGCTTTTATCGAAAACCGGGAAATTGTGATAGCGATTCATGAAAGCTAACAAACCAATGTAATTCAAACAATCAACAGTCCTATTTGATGCCGAGAAGTTTAAATAGTCCAGCTATAAAGTTATTTTTCGATTCACCAATAGCACAGACAACACGCACTCAGTCCGATTACAAACAATGAAGTCTTTGATCTATGGTTGGTCATGAAAAACTGTCCGGTCAATAATTTCTAAAATTACATTTAATAAAAAAATTTTTCCATGACGATTAAATGGTCGTAAAAATAATATTGTGTTAATAATAAGTCCTTTAGCCGAACTTTGCCAGGAATTTGTCCCGAACATACTATTAGATGTTTATGAGTATTGGAAATGTCTTTGCAAATATATTATTGTCATTTTATAACTAACCTACTAAATAGCTGAGTGTTTCTCTCAGTCAGCGTATTCAGCTTATTGTTTTCAAACCATGTCTCATTCATTACTTTTTCTCTGAATAACTGAGAGATGTAAACTATAAATAAACTAATTACAGAAAGAAACTGAGTCATTTTTTGATTTTGTACGTAGATGTACGACCTTCAGTTTAGTACAAATTTGACAAAGTATAAGACATCATGAATTCACAAGAAACGCAGTACGACACCATAATAAAGCATTTTTGAAACTTTGAATAGCAACTGTAATATTTCATATCAGTTAACATTCCATTTTCAGAATCGTCAAGTGGATATGACAGTTATGTATGATAAGTTCAATCCTCAAAAATGCAAAACTATTGTAAATTATGTGTGCTTGTTTCTATTAATAAAATAGCGAGTTTTTTCTGAATTATTTGCACATATTTCTCACTCCTGATTTATTTTGAAGTGGTTTCTATTTATTACGTTTATGATGTCTGAAGGACAAGTTTAGCCTTAGGACAGAAACGTATGTCCCGTAAACGTAAGTCCTAAATTTCACGGGTTATGTCACATTACCATCCTACGTTTTCTTGTCTGACACATAGGTCACAAGCATGTATAATTTGAGGTTGCGAGCTTACTCGATTTGGATGGAAATAAAAGTACAAGACATAATTGGTGACTCATTATCCTGTTAATTATACACTAATGGTCAGTGCGAGTCTGTGGTCTTTGGCTTTGACAAGTATCGGCAAACTGTTTAACATTCATTGAAGTCCCTGATGAATAATTTGATTAGGAGTCAGTGACATTTTACTAACTGTTGTTATGTAAGGAATTTAAAGCTCGCAGTAGCAAACATTACTTTTAAAAATTAACTTGTGTGCATTTCACTTTGTAGGTGACCGCTTTTGTCATGCTATACACCATTTGCTGGACTTAGTTGTTTACCCATCAAAATCAAGATCCTGCTCGTCGTGGAAAATATCCTTTGATAACTAGTCAGCTTAGACATTAAAAACTATTATATGGATGTATTTAGTTCACTAATTCATCAGAAAGGTTTTCATTTTTTATAGGAGATATTCTAACAAAAGTATTGTAAGACAATGTCGAGTTTGTCTTCTTTTTGTAAGTGACTTTTTTACTCGTTCCAAGTAACTTGTTTTCATATGGAGACTTAAGGCTTCAAAAAAATTACAGGCGTTTTATTCGGTTAGTTTGTGGCTTCAAACGCATGCACAATTACGATTGGATCAGTTGCGGATGAATTTCAACCTTTTAATGTACCACAACTTCCTTTTTGTTTTGAAATTTACGCTGTTAATACACCATTATATTCTTTGCTTTGGTGCTGCTTTACTAATCTTATTTGGCTTTTTATTTCATATTCCCGGCTGCAAATGGATCCGCGATGTTTTATTGACGTGTACCATGAAATAAGTTTAGACAAATCTGGTTCATTTTGGGATTTCGTCAAAAATCCCTCTGGAGAAGCAGTAATGATAGTTTGTCTGAGATTGTCATGAAATTTTGAGTTGAAACTGGTAGAATTTACTTTGATAATGAGGAATTCCCCATAAAATGCGCAATAAATTTGCAATGAATTTGTCGAAGATGATCAGTGTACCAATATTTCTGAACAGCTTAAATATGTTGAGATGTACTTTCTTCCATGAACTGAGTTGTTATCTGATTTAAGCGGCATCCATTTATAGCAATATGTTCAGCATAAATACCAGAAGCTTAGGAAGTGATGTTTATGGGTGTTGGTTACCATTTTATATAAAATAAACAATATTACCTGTTGAGTCTGTCGAAGCATCTAAATCACCAAATTGAGATACGCGCAAAATCAAAGATTTCAACTTAACGATTTGTCTAAATTGGCTATTCTTTTAGAATAATGTACAAAAATTTGTTACAAACCTCAACATGTGTAGTGTCTGTGGCGTTTATCGCGTCGGCATGGTGTAAATATCAGACTCCCTCAAACTGCCCGCCGTTCCGTTTAAACGACCTTAAACAGCCTCACAAGAGACTGCAAATCCTTATTTCAAATGCTGTGGGGTTGTTGGGTGTACGTTGGGTTGCACGAATACCAGGTATTCTCATATTTAAATGGTCTTTTACTGCAGCGAAACTACAAAACCACTGCGAAGAACATTGATTTAGCTATCTCTGTTTTGTAGTGTACACGTTGTATCAATTATTGCCTCGTAACTTCACAATCTCTCAGTTTTGGCGAAAATGTTTTCCGCTTTGTGTAAATTTTGGAGATAATTTTGATCGACGGTGTCCTGTCCTCTTTGCCTGGAAACAAAAATTATTACGAGCAGATCTAACATGAGTCGTTGATATATTTAGACTTGCCAGTGTCATTGTCGTCATATGCTTCTGGCATACATAAGAAAACGAACTCTTACAGACAAACCCGGTTAATTACGAAATATAAACTATATATTTCATTATATTCTTAGAGATTGCAGTCGATAGAACAAAGAGAGCACTCACATCTTCCATGCCAACAAAAATTTCAACACCCAGACGAAGCAAACACTATGTACAGATTCGAGGAAGCCAGTTTCTAAGTAGGTAAACTGTAGTTTCACTAATGCCCATTTTTATGTAGTATTCTTTACGCTAGAAAATATGGATCGGAATACAACAATGTGGAAACGCGTCAGGAACTGTTTGTTATGAAAGTTCTTTGCAGTGTTCTTTTTAACTTAACAATATATATCCAACTTGTAAACTGATTTTTCTGCGTCAAATGTTGCTCTTCCTGTAGCAGTAATAATGATGCATCAATAAACTTTTGCAGTTTTGTACTGCCATTGGGCACTAACAACCCAATGATGGATAAGGCGGGAACAATAATTTGAATAAATTGGAGTTGATCCTATGGCATGGCTCGGCCATACAGGCGTGGTCCCTACTGAATGTTATCTTATATCTTTTATTCATATTAAACATATTGTTCCATTTCTAGCCTAAGATTGTTCTCCATCATGTATTGGCAATTGTTACGATGCAGTGAGTTGGTGTAGATGATGGTGTGACTTCCACGTATGATCTTATACGTTAGGCAGTTACATCATAACAAATCTACAATTTTAGGATTAAGTCTATTATCAGAGCAGTGCTAATATCATAGTAGACCGTAATTCTACAGTTTCATAGGGATATATACCGATAATTTTAACGGGCAACTGCGAAAATTAAAAGCAACTAATTGTTTCCGTTATAAGTACCTGTTTGGTTAGGGAAACTTGTAGTACTGCATCAGTTTAGACGCCTCGCGGAGATGTTGTTTTGTATATATAAGTTTCTTTACTATTAGACCGTAATTCTACATTGGTGAGCCCAACTAAGGAAACGAAACCTCTTATTGTTAATTCTTATTTCTCGGTCGATTTTTACTAATGTAATAGTCCTCTGATTAATGCTCATATGTATTATCTTAACGCTATATTGATTATTACTCATAACTTACTAGCTCAATCGATAATAAAAGCTGGTCATCTTTATTAACTACATAGCTTTGGTGGTTCATTAACAAGCTTTAATAGCATTTACACGCTACAGCGAAACAATCTTGTTTAAACATCAAGCTTTAGTAAATATGACCTGTAAATAACGCAAATATACATTGGCTGGCAACGTAAGCAAGGACTAAACTATTATCTGGATCTAATTCTTTATGTTGTTTCTTCACTTAACTCCTCAATCTATCTTAAACTATGCACTAACCTGCTATATTTTTTTCTTCCGACCACTGCCTGCCTAATTTCCGATTCTCCAGTTCCATTGCCAAACAACAAGGATGACACTACTACAAAAGCATACGGTGAGTTTCAGCTATAAGTTTTCTGCAATCATAAGTTCATTTTAGATGGCTCGTTCAATGGCAACCACACAATTATCTGGATTCATTCAATTGTTCTGATCCGAGCAAGTAACAAAAACGTCAGACATTAAGAACCCTGAAATTAATTATCATACTGCATGTTTTATTCTGGATGTTTTTGAATCATTACTCCTCACGAATGGCGTTACACATGTCGTCTACTGAATAATCTAATTATCGAAAACAATCCAGGCGAGTTTAATTATTTCATGGATGGTTTTTTTGTACTAAACATGTGTATATTTTCCAGTTGCTTTTGTCGCATGTGTCACTAGGCTAAATGCAGAAACTTATTTAAAGTATACAAAGAGTCATACCCCTGCCTAATGTTCCATAAGTTTTCTTTGCTTTAAAGATTTTCCCGGCCATGTTTACCATTTTTAAATTGTCACATACCTCAGAAACCTGCATGTTAACCTGGCCCGTTTTTATTATTATTTTATTCTATTTGAACACATAAATATTGGTACAGGGAGGCACCAAATATATATGCGCCACACAAAACAATGAGAATTTAAGAAGGGGGAAAAAGGTAAGGAACTTAGGGAATTATAAAAAAAAGAGAACAATAACGAGGGAGACGAAAAGGTACACTCAGAAGAAATTCTACATTTAAGGAAGATACAACCACTTTTTATGAAGTGAAAGAAGGTTATAGCAGGATCGCCATTGGCTTCTATTCTGAGCCATATCTGATAACGTCTCCAGCCACTGTGTTACACCATCTCTCAGACCCCAGCCAGAGAGTCGTGAAGGACCAATACAAACCAGCCCTTTGCAGCTTTATCCCATACAACGACACCATGTCATGCACTGACCGCCTCTCCGCTTTTTCCAACCTGTCCCAGAGTCGGCAAATAATACACGACGAGGAATTCTCTGGGACGACATTCGTAGAACATGTCCAAGTAACCGAAGTCGGTGTTTCAAAATGGTGACACCAATTGCATTACCGTCTCTGTGCCCGAACACACGATGCCGAACCTCTGCATTACAACATGGTGTTGCCACTGAATGCCAGCAAACGTTCGGAGACAGCGTTGATCGAACACAGAGAGTCGTCTAACATCCTCAACTCGGAGAGGCCAGGTTTCACAAGCATAGAGCAAAACTGCTCTCACCGACGCGTTGTAGATCTGATCTTTTCAAGCCAGACTAACATCACGAAGGCGCCAAAGGTGGCCCAGATGGGCATAAGCCGCTCTGGCTTTCACTATACGTGCATTGGTCTCATCAC